TCACCGGGTCCAAAAAGACCCACTTATGGAAGCTTGGGGGTAGTAATACAAAAACTACAATTTCTTAAAATGTAAATTTAAAATTAGAATGGCATGATATCCAAAACATGTTTTTTGAGGAATAGCTGGAATATGAAATTATAAAAAAATGTAATTACAAATATACTTCAAGAAAACCACCTCACCGGGTCCAAAAAGACCCACTGCATCTAAGGGTTAAAAGCCCTGTCGATTCAATCCTCTGTCCCCAGCATTGATTTGTCCCTATTTTAGTTACATCCATACATACAGACACATACAATAGTAACCTGATCCTACACACAACAGCAGCGGTTTAAAATAACACAGAGACCTCTGTTTAGCAGGAATGCTGAGTGGGTCATTCAGCTCTGAGTGCATGACCGATACTCCCACACACTGAATTCATACTCAGCCAAGCCGCGTTCTCTTTGTGTGTGTGTGGGAGTATTAAGGGTGTTCCACATTATTAGTGTTGCCGAATATTGTTCAACGATGCTTTGTGTGAAAATATGAAATGAAAACTCCCCTCTCGCTCTGCCCTCTATTTCACCGCAACCAGCTGTCATGACTTCCTTCCTCTCCACCTATCGCTTCCTCTCTTTATTCTCCCTTTATTCTTCAGCCCTTAATCACTTCCCTTTCTGTGCTGCCTTTTTCTATAAACTGAAAAATATCACTCCCTCATTGCTCTTAGAAGGGCTTACAAAAGTGTTGGCTCTTTGCTCGCGGACAGCCCCAGACAAACACTCACATACACTCTTTGTCGGGGCGCTATTTAAAGAGTCATTGTGCTCATACAGATAAGCCTCAGCAGCCAGAGCGCCACAAAGCTCCTGATAAGGTAACCTACTCTAAAGTGTAGAAATGGAAAGAGAAAAACATCCAAATGGAGGCAGCAACTGCATGTGGGTGTCTGGGTTTTAAATCATGAAAAACATTCAGAGTTTGAATCCTGTTAGGGAAAAGTATAACAGGTTTATCGACTTCAAAGTTCCCTTAAGCTGCAGTGATTTCGGAAAAGTCAATGTCAGTTGAAGATCTACTGCAGTACATTATTGTTCCACTATTCATTACTGGGAGAGTAGAGTGAGGTAAGGTGACTTCAACGTTTTTCCCCACACTGTCAGAAAACTGCATGCTGGTACGGTGGATGTGATGGAGGAGGCAGTGAGAGCACAAAGATGAACGATAAGCCCCACACAAGATAAGCCAAAAGATTCATATTGCGATGATGGGGTGGTGAGAGAATGACGGGAAGAAGACACTGGGGGGGATTAAGACAAAACACTAAAAGAAAACACAACCAGCCAAAAGGACATGTTGCTCTCAAAAAACATGCATCAAAAAACCAACAGAGGAATATACACAGCCGCTGTATATTCTGTCACGTTTGGACCCAAAAAAGCCACACCAACAACAGGGATATTAACGAGGGAGGGCACGAGAGAGAGGGGAGAATACCTATTTATGGGATGGCTGTCACTGGGCGACGCGACACACTCACAAGGAGAGAGGGACGTCCCAGTCGGAGCAGCCAACCAATGGGAACAAGAAGAGGACTCAGTGAATAAGGGGAGGAGGAGGACGGGAGGTCGTTGAAGCTTAAAGGTCAATTTGGTAGTCGATGTGTGCAGCGTTCACACACCAAAACACCGTCATCAAATACCATCACTGTTTGGGGTCCTGCTGATGTGGGTTACAGACCTGGTTTAGCAGCATTCATTTGAGGAGTTTGTTTGATGAGTTGGTGGCGTTTATGATGTTATCACTCAAGTAGAATGGGTTACTTTCCTGTGGTGGAAATGTTGGCTTTGGTTCAGCTTCATTTCAGTTTATTTGAGACATTAAGAATTGAATCAACACGGGGTGAAAACTGTCTTAAATTGCCCTCTCTGATTGGTAGTTGTATGCCTGTTGTTACCGCTAAAAGCACCCAGCATTACCTATAGTTAGTTTGCTGTTGTCAAAAGGTGTAATTTCCCTTTGTACTGACCATACGCTGGAGTAAACTTCTACATCACTGCTGCACTGTGAGAAGTCAAACCAGTGGACTAAAAACTAAAACATTTACGCTGCTCTTATAACAGTAAGGAAAGAATAACATTGAGATACATTCCAATCTGCAACAGCCATCATTTGCAGTTTCCAGGCCATGAATATTGTTCATTTTTGCTATTTTTATCATTTGAGTTCTGTTAATGGGAAATGTTGAAATGCGTTAATTCTTCCTCTTCATTCCCTGTCACTGCCTTAAGGCTTAAGATGTCTCAAAACCTCATATTGTAGAACATGTAATGATGCTAATTGAGAACTAATTTGTTACCTTTGTGACAAAGCTTCTTTTTTTCAAAGTTGCTCATGTGAATGACAAGCAATTTCACCATTTAATGACATTTAATGAACTGTGAAAATCATAATTTCCTTCTTCCAATCGTGGAGAAACTGTGAACAAATGTTGACTTATATCATTGCCAGGAAGTATACAAAGTCTACAATCCAGGTTATACTATTCTTCCTACTGCCCACTGGGATTGTAGCATACACCAGTTGGTTGCCTACTATTGGTTTTACTTCAGCCTTAAGTCAAGAGTAGATATCCGGATTCAGTACACAACTTTAATATGGTACAAATGAGGGTACGAATCCTCTTATGGCACTGTGAGATCCACCAGGATAATCTCCTTGTCTTTGGGTCAACAACAAAACTACTGGATGTAGAGAGAGATCGAAGACATCTGGAGACTGCAGCTTCTTCTCCTAAGACCTTGCCATTTTTCAGCAGGGAGAGGCTTTATCTGACTCTATGGCCAATCTAATCTAATATCAGCTTAGACCTGCAAGACAGTGTCATGGTGCCATCTATACCATTCTGGTTTTGGAGCTTTTTTTCCCCATTGCTTCCCCAAAGCATGTTGGTGAGGGAAGAGTGTAACAGACTGAGCGATGTAGGAATGAGATGCAGAAAGGTCATAAACTCTAAAACTCTTATCATGTTACTTTGTTTTTTGAGGAGCTCCCAATAAGTCCAATAACAGCGTGCTTGGTTTAACTGGATCGCCCTGATTCCTTTAAGTTCCTCACTTCCTCCTGGATAATGGTGAACCTGCCCCCGTTTATGAAGCCTTCGCCCTGCTTAAAACGCATCGAGCCAAGGCCTTCCCTTCCAGAGCAGTGAACACCGTTGATGTCGCGCGGCTTCAGAGAGCTCGTTGCCTTGTTTATGGCTGAATTTGCGCCCTATTTCCGGCCTGATCTTGTACTAACTCCAGCTTGGCAAACATATTAACTCTTGAAGTCTCTGAATGTTGCCACAGCTCTACAATTTGCCACCTTAAGTTATTCTTCCCATGATGATAAAAAGGGATTTCTAGCAGGTCTGATCTTACCTTCACCCACAGGGTAATGGTTTGGGTTAATATCTGATTATGTCTGTAAGTGCCTGTTTGATTTCTGTCTCTAAGTCCATTGAAAGACACCTACCTTGTCCTCTCTACAGTGAGTATATTGAGTACGATGTTTACGTATTGTAATACTCAAACACTGGGTCAACATACTTATCCAAAGACCTTTAAGCAGAGGGTTGTGGATCTGTGTGTTGTTCAAAGACAGCTCATAAAACATGGCCGCTGCTGCTGTAAAACCTGACCTTTTAGACAAAGGGCTTTTTTTTTTAACAACAAGGCAAACATGCCCTTCATTTAATATACCATATTTAAAGTCAATGCTAACTCACTGATGACAAATGACTTTGTCTGTTGGACCTATACAACCATGTGCATATTTACATACACATGTAATCCGTGAGTAAAGGGGAAGCCTGTTTGTGATGGAGTAAACACTCAGTAGGTGTTGTGCATTACGCCTCTTAACTTCCCACATGTCGGGAAGGACTCAAACAGACTTGAGCCTCGGGCCACGGAGAAGCTTCATTCCAGACGAGCTTTCCGTCTCAATAAAGCCACTGACAGACATTTGGCGGTAATAGACTTCAACACAACAGGTGCCGAGTGCTGCTCAAAGCTGAGGGGCGGCTGGTAGGCAGCGTTATGTTGGAAGAGATTTATCTATTCCTTTAACGAGCATTCAAAAATCATTAGAGAGGTTTTCCTAATTTTAGGCAGGGCTGTAAAAGCAATGGTATAAAATCTATTTTATAGCAATTGTACATGCTTGTTTACTGCTTACAACCTCAATTGCATGCAGTCATAGCTGTGAGACACTTTTCTAATAGGCTTCAAAAACATGTGATCAATGGCACACAATGAAATATTTGTTCAAAAAAAGGGAATAGTTGCGTGCCAATAAACCAGCTGGTAGACACACAGTGAATCAACAGGTGCTATGGTAGCATTACGTTGTAAAGAGGCAGCAGGTTTTCAATTGGAAGGTAACATCTATTATTACTAATAATTGTCCACATCAAAAGTGCTTTAAATAGCACTAGTGATACCGTTTTAGAATATGTGCCAAGGGTGGGAACAAAAACGTAGTATTTAAAATGTTTCCAAAGTCTTTTGAAGTTGGACTTAATTGATGCTTCATGTTCCACAATGTAAACAGTACAATGTGACTTTGAAGTGTGCAGCTAGCCTCGCATGCTTTGCATTGTTTCCACGTGTAGAAGAATCCTGTTAGTGTTTCGATCACTTTGGATACACATGTTGTGGTTGAAATAAGCTTTCACAGCAACTGTCTTATTGTGAGTTTAAAAGAAACAGTTCTAATGTTATTCATATTCTAGCTTTCATTTTAAGATGACAGGGTTCGTTGATCGAATAAGTTCTCCTGACCTAATGAAAATCAATCTTCGTTGCATTTCTTCTACATAGGGAATCGTTCCTTGACTGTATTTGTTTTACACCCACAAGCGGAAACATAGGTGGCTACACACACTGCAAACGAAAAACAACAACACCAGAGAAAGAGATTTAAAGATGTTAGTCACCGCGAACAACTCTGTAGGAAAAAGATTGGCGTACCTTGAAGGCATACTTGCGGCTGATGTGGTCCTCAGCTCCCACGGGGGAAATGACATAGCTGGGCAGAGGAATACTGCCGAGCACCGACTCCTCTCTGCTGTCTGGAGAGAGAGAGAGAGGGGTGGAGAGAGGGAGGGAGGGAGTAACGGGGGAGAAAGAGGGAGAAAGAGGGAGAAGATATTCAGGGTGAGGAAGGTGAGATATGGAGGAAAGGAAAGAGCAAGAGATTAAATATCAGTCATCACCCACTAATTTCATCGCTGCCTGCCACCAGTATCATAACACTCTCATAAACACACTCGCATGCCGTCATTCAAACTGCCGTGTTGTGCCAAAACAGTGAATGACCACAAGTGTTAAAGCAGGTCTGCTCCAACTGGCAGCCGGCCGCCATTCCTCTGCTCCATCCGATTCACATGCTGAGATCATTGTCAACACACATATACACACACAAACACTTGTCCTTCTATATTTGTAAGGACCCTCATTGATATAATGCAGTCCTCAACCTTTCACCTTAACCTTTCCCTCAAGAAAAGACTGCTAAAAATGTCCTGACCTTCCAAAACATCCTTACTTTAATGGTCTTAAACTCAAAAAGGACCTTACAAACACACACACACACACACACACACACACACGACTGCCACCAGAAAATGTCATATGGTAATTATTTCACACGTATATGAATAAATATCTGCTTTTATTTGTTTTCTGAACATCTTGACAGGACGCTAGAATGCGATGTGTGTGTACACAATGCTTAGCAGGTCGTAAAAAAAATGTAGTAAGAGTATGAAAATATGTGCGTGTGTGTGTGTGTGTGTGTGTGTGTGTGTGTGTGTGTGTGTGTGTGTGTGTGTGTGTGTGTGTGTGTGTGTGTGTGTTTGGCTGAGAGGTGATAAGGCGGCTCTGTGGATTAAAGGGGCAATTGTTTAAAAATAATTCAAGGACCTTTGGAGGAGACATTCCCTAAATGGTGGTTGAGAGGGTGAGGTCTTTTTATCTGCTCTGCCCAGTCTGTCTCGCGTGCACACACACGCACACAAACACACACACACACACACATTCAGCAGACCACTGCTGTGACAAGTGAAGTTAGATAACAAACAGCACATGAATGCATCACTTTTTGTCCCCTGTTCAAGTTGTTTTCTTATAGAAGTTGAGAGTGAAGAGGTTTCTGTATACTGTGCTGTAAAATAGGGTTTTACAAATGATATACAAAGTCCCCCAAGACAGACAGCCCTACTTAAAAAGTGTTGACCAATGACATATTTTGTTCAGAGCTTCAACAGAAACTTTCATTATTAGTGATTAATCTAGGGAGGCGTGTGGTGCAGTGGGTTGTCCGTAGGTGTTCGGATCATGGGGTCACAGGTTCAAACCCCACTGCAGTCAGCATGTCGTTGTGTCCCTGGGCAACTTCACCCCAAATTGCTCCTGTGGGGATTGTCCACAGTATTGAGTATGTAAGTCACTTTGGATAAAAGCGGCAAACAAGTGACATTTAATGTAATGTAATCTGCACATTAAATGTAGTGTTTTGTCTTTAAAATAATGAAACTACCCATTTCTGTATCCAAATTCTTGTTTTACAGTCCTAAATCCAGATAAAACTGTCGTAAAAACTTGGGAAGAGAATTATTTCTTTACATTTGAGAGGCTTAAATCCAATAATTTGTGCCTTTATAACTTGAATAATATGTAAAACTATAACATTGAAATGGTTGCCAACTCATTTGCTGTCCATCGATCCCATCAATTGAAGTTTTAATTGTATACAGCAAGTTAAATGTTTTTCTGCCACGCATCCTGAATGGAATTATTCTTAATATTTATCTTTGTCCATATTTATTTGTCATTAAAAAAAGTATTTCTCGGTTTTAAAATGTGACCACAAGCTACTACAAACCCCACATTTCCCTAACAAATCAATCAAGGACATGACCTCTACAGCCCTGACAGGAGCGTTGGCTGTTTGTGTAAGAAGAAGCGTTCATGTAGAGAGCAGAAACCTTTGAACTGAGAGAGAAGGGAACGACACAGGATTGATTTGACCCTTTGAGGCATGGATAAGGAGGAGCGTCTCCTGGTTCTGTTAAGAGATTTTAGAGGGAAAAGAAAGGCGTGGAGCAACAGATAAAGACTGCTGTTGATGGAGTGTGTGATGGAGAGTGTGTCCGTTTCTCTGCATGTGTTTGAGCTGCAGCACACTGAGAGATCAGATTAAAGCCGGCACAGATTCAATCTCTGGCGCTTTTGTCAGCAGCAGTTCACTTCAAATCCAGTGCCATCAAAATGCAATTCTAACGTTTGAACTTTGTCCAAACGCTTTTTTGTTGAAAGCTGTCAGATTTCCAATACAGACATATACTGTATATCTTATTCTTCAAAGACTCTTATTTTTTCACTGGTCTGTAATTTCACATTTTTCAATTTAAGCCAAGAAAGATGAGAACATATATAAATATATCTGTCTTATTTTTTTAATAGCAAATGTTAGATAAAATAACCTTTTAAAAGAAGATATTTTTCTAAGACACAGTGAGACACCGGCAGAATACAATAACACCGTGGTTTTATTCAGACTGATCGGCGTTCATTTAAAGAGGACTTATTTTTGATATTAGTATTTAGTGTCTCTCCTGTGACATGTCTCCATGCTTTAATGTTCAAAAAGCTCTTTATTTTTCTCATACTGCCTGTGCTGCAGCACCTCTTTTCACCCTCTGTCTAAAACCAGAGCCCAGTCTGCTCTGATTGGTTAGCTGGCCGGTTCTGTTGTGATTGGTCAACCGCTTAGAGATGTCCCGCCCCTTATCCTATCACGTACAATGTGTTGGAGCGCTAGCCAATAAAAACCTGAGTGTTACATTTCAGTGTATGATCTTTGAAGAGTGTAAAAAAACACAAGGAGGCAGGGTGTTGGAACAAACTGATACTTCAACCATTTTCTCCAAGATCCAAGCGACATTACACAGAAAAACCTCCTTAAAAATATTTACCTTTGTAATAGAACAGACAGAAATCAGCCAAGACGAACCACTTCCTCTTCCAGAGACGCATCCCAGAGCTGTCCTGCAGACAGAGAAAAGGAATAAAGAGTGTGAGTTATTAATGAATGAATAATGAGATAAAGTGGGCGAGATAACAAGAAAGAGTAGACAAGACATCTTAAATACAGAGAGGGGTTTAATGAGAAGGGAGAGTTAGAGACGGAGAAGAGTAGTGAGGGACAGAGGACACATAAGGAGTAATGAAAGGAAAAGTGAGGTGGATATGAGCGAGGTAAAGAGAGGGATCATTTGTCCTCGTTGTGCGGCTCGCTGGGTCTGACACGGCTACTTTACTGCCTGCTTTGTCTTTTATGTTGCCTCGCCCGGCTGAAAATGCTTCTGTTTGAAGAGGAGGGCAGATCCAGAAGGGAGGACATCTACACAAACACATGCTTCTTCTTTGTAACCCTGTGTGTGTGTGTCTGTGTGTGTCTGTGTGTGTGTGTCTGTGTGTGTCTGTGTGTGTCTGTGTGTGTCTGTGTGTGTGTGTGTGTGTGTGTCTGTGTGTGTCTGTGTGTCTGTCTGTGTGTCTGTCTGTCTGTCTGTCTGTCTGTCTGTCTGTCTGTGTGTGTGTGTGTGTGTGTGTGTCTGTCTATCTGTCTGTGTGTCTGTCTGTGTGTCTGTGTGTCTGTGTGTCTGTCTGGGTCTGTGTGTCTGTGTGTCTGTGTGTCTGTGTGTCTGTCTGTGTGTCTGTGTGTCTGTGTGTCTGTGTGTCTGTCTGTCTGTCTGTCTGTCTGTCTGTGTGTCTGTGTGTCTGTGTGTCTGTGTGTCTGTCTGTCTGTGTGTCTGTCTGTCTGTCTGTCTGTGTGTCTGTGTGTCTGTGTGTCTGTCTGTGTGTCTGTCTGTGTGTCTGTCTGTGTGTCTGTGTGTGTGTGTGTCTGTGTGTGTGTCTGTCTGTGTGTGTGTCTGTCTGTGTGTCTGTGTGTGTCTGTCTGTGTGTCTGTCTGTGTGTCTGTCTGTGTGTCTGTCTGTCTGTGTGTCTGTCTGTGTGTCTGTCTGTGTGTCTGTCTGTGTGTCTGTCTGTGTGTCTGTCTGTCTGTGTGTCTGTCTGTGTGTCTGTGTGTCTGTCTGTGTGTCGATCATGTGTATCTGTGTGTGTGTGTGTTTGTGATAACAGGCTTTATGCAAGAAGAGATACAAGACAAAATGTGCTTCTTTTTTTTGTCCGTACACATGATTTGTTCTTATTTTGTTAGTACCCATTGATTTATGGGATTCACTTAAGTTTTGTTATTTTTTGATCTAATATTAGCTGAGGACAAAATGTAGTTCTGGATAAGAGCACTCTAACCAAGATGAGAAAAACACATTATGGTTTCGCAGTCCACAAATTGTTCATCCAACGCAAGAAAATAAATATATATAAAAGTCTTCAATTTGAATAATGTACAAAACTGCATCAATACCATATATTTTAATTTTAATTATTATATGTTTTAATGTAATAAAAATGATTGGATTATAACATTGGTGGGCTAAAGAATACTAATAGTTTATTGATCCTATTTAGTGCAATAAAAAGTGGGTCTTATATAAACCAAACTTTAGTTTCTGTATAACTTCCAGAGTGTTTTTTATTCTCCTGTAACATTAGTACTGCGCTTACTACGAGTTTAGGGGGCGTTAACTATCTAAAAATAAACAACCAGCCACATGTCTCAAAGTGATAATTAAAGAGGCTCATGTTGAGGTCCATATTAGTATTTAGTGTCTCTACTGGGACATGTCTCCATGCTGTAATGTTCAAAAAGCTCTTTATTTGTCTCACACTGCCTGTGAACCCCCTCTGGAGGGAAAACTGGGATTTTAGCCTTTGCAGACCATTTACATGCATTAAAAACTACTGTATATAACACACTACAGGCAAGGAAAAACCCCCTTTAAGATAAAAGTTGCTACCTGAGGGCCAATATTTGTACATGCAAATACATGTATATATTTATGTGGATGTGTGTGTTCCTGACAGCATGTAAAAGTGTTTTTTAATTAAAGTATAATTGCACTTCAAGAACAGACTGTGTGTGCGTGTACATGTGCGTGTGCGTGTGTGCGGTCATTAAAGTATAATGTCTTCACAGTGACATCACTCACTGTTTGTCTTGTACTGAAGCCAAGTGTTTTCCAGTGGGACGTTGCCAACGACAGATATTTTAAGTAACTCCAAATACTCATAGAGTGTGCAGTAATAGCCTGTCTGTGATCAACAGCAGGTGCTCTGTACTGCCAACGCAACATACATAAATCAAGAACATATTAAAGTAGGCCACTGGAGGAAGATTTAAGGAGCTGGAACTCATCCACATAGTGTTTTAAAGAGACACAGACAACTCAACACCAAATGAACTCATAAACTGCAACTATTTGGTTGACCAATTAACCATTTGAGTCATTGTTCACTGGTTCCTTCAAATGTGAAAATGTATCTGTTTTATGTCACTGTAAACTAAAGGTCTTGGACAAAAAACAACATTTAAAGATGTTACCCAGGGCTTTCGGAAGAGATGAGACAGGGATCTTTCCTCTGTCTTTTGCAATTATAAAATGTTATAATCAATTTATTTATTTATTTGTTGATATAAAAACGGTTGTGCAATATCACAAAAACACCAATCTACCTGTACAAATGTTGTCTGTTTGTGTGTATGCAAGAATGTTTCAGTCTGTGTGTGTGTGCGTGTGCGTGTGCGTGTGCGTGTGTGTGTGTGTGTGTGTGTGTGTGCGCGTGCGTGCGTGCTGACCTGTTTGTAGAGCCATCCTCGGACCACCACGGGGACGTTGGGATTTCTTTTGATGGCCTGCTCTCTCTTCCCAAAGCTGTGCACCCTGCCACCTGATCGGGAGCCCTGAAACACAACAACAGGTAGAGAGGCTTTCATAAGATGTGAGAAAAGAAGAAAAAAAGTCCTCAGCCATGGCTGCTATCATCGCACAATTTCATATAATAATAATTTAGCTTCTAATCAATCAGCTCTGTGTTTGTATCCTGCCAGCGTGTTAATTATTCAGCTAACCAAACATTACATTGAACACATCTAATTGCTAAGTGGCATAGTTGTGTGGCTCGTTACCATTCGTTTTTTCAGAGCTTGGTTGATTAAACATTTAACAAGAACATTTATTCTCAGTAGCAGAACTATCATTAAATAATACTGGGACCAAAACGTAAGACTAAAGTAAGATATTTGTTTGTTTATTTTGCAAATAAATGAAATACACCTGGGGAGGTTCAGGTAGGTAAAGGTTAACAATATAGAAATATTGAACATTTAAGATTAATTTCAGAGGATGTGTGGATAATTAGCGCTGCAGTAACTTTCATTTGGGAACAGTCCGTCTGAGCCTCATCTGTGCCTCATTCAGTCGGACTAACCCCTCACTGAATGGACCCTCACACACACACGCACACTATCATTATCTTTTCTCTCTCCTACCCTTTTTCTGCCCCAGTTGCTACATAATTATAGCCATTATTTGAGTACAGCCAATTTTCCACCGCCAGAAATGGTTGCCTTGACGTTTGCCAGACATTGACAAAGTCTGGTCATCAGGTAGGAGGTTAGAAGAGGTGGACTTGTGACTCACAGTTCAATGGTTTGAGTGCCAGACAGCCAGACACCTGCCTGAGAGTCTGGGCAGTTTACCTGAACGACTACAATCAAAAAGAGTGAGGCGATAACTCAAAATGATTTCAGAGTACCGAGCAGCAACCAGCTATGAAGGTCTTAGTGTGTTCGTTGAAAGCTCGGCATTGGAGAGGCAACTTTTTCTGGATAAATAAAGTCAAGAGTTGAGATGGAAAAGGGGGAAATAATTTGTCCTCAAAAATAGCGAGTAAATGTTGTGTCCTTTAGATTCAGCTCATCTAAAGGAGATATTTGTCACTGCAAAATTAAAGCTTATGGTGTTTTAAATCTGTATATTCAAGGTTGTTATCCAATGTCAGGACTAGTTCTAGAAGAAATATATAAAGTACATAAAAAGGACATTTTATTAGCATTTGTATGTTCATATTTGTATTTTCTGCCTCTACTGTGACATGTTTACATGCTCAAAAAGCTCTTAATTATTCTCTTTTCACCCTGTCTAAAACCAGACTTGGGGATTTTAGCCTTTGACAACCATTTACATGCACACAAACCTACATGATAAAATACAGGACAGGGGAAACTCCAAACAGCATAATAAGGCTGAGTGAATACCACTTAACATTCTATGGTAGAGTTTATTACTAACATAAGTTTAAAAAGTGTCTCCCCAACACATACTGTAGTTGTCAAGATATTGATCCACCGCTTAAAAGTAATTGTAACATAGTCCCATAATGAGCTGAACTATTGTTCCAATTACTTTTAAGGGGTTTTGCGTATTTGGTATATACCGTTTAAAAAAAAATAAAAACTTAACACCTATCTTGTGCTGAGCAAACATTGGGTGAGAGCCGGGCTGGATTAGAGTACTTGGTTGGCTCCCAGCAAAAATGCAGATTAGGCCCCAGTTTTCCAAGTCTGTGTAAAACTTGTGGGTGTGTAAAGCACATTTCAATTTTATAAACTGAAATAATGATGCCATATAAAAGAAAAATAAGGATTTAACTCATGCTTATGGACTTGGAAACACACAGCAATAACAGAAGGCTCAGCAGAACATTTGTCTTCCCAATCAGCATGAATAATAGTGAGAGATAAATATGTGAAATAACCTGCCCAGCTGAGGGGTTTAAACAGTATGAAGCGTTTACTGTTCCAGCACATTGAGCTATAATTCTGCCACTTAAATAACTGTACAACATGTGAGGCACCGACATCAAATCATCTTTCTGTATGCACATTAAAATATATTTATATTGCCACTCAGAAAACCATGACATTCCTGTGCATTATTATTGTGTTTGTGTGTACAGCCAGGAAACACACTTATAAAGCCGTGCACATATTCATGAAATGTCATTACACCATCCTCTCTCCTGAAACCTCAGAAGAAAGACTTCTCCCCCTGGCAACACACACACACACACACACACACACACACACACACACACACACACACACACACACACACACACATACACACACACACACACACACACACACACACACACACCACACACACCACACACACACACACACACACACACACACACACACACACACACACACACACACACACACACACACACACACACACACACACACACACACACCACACACACACACACACACACACACACACACACACACACACACACACACACACACACTTTATAATTTGAGATGTGGTGTGACGGCTGCAGAGTGTGTGTATGGACTGGCAGCAGCACTGGGAGTCATCCACAGCTGGGAGACAGAAAACCCACTCACTAATTAGAGGGTTGGCCAAGCATGATGAAAAGACGCAGAGAGGCTCCCATACTGTTACATTGTAGTCCCTTATGTGTACATATACACTATATCAATGCATGTTTACTGTGTTTGTCTCAGCCTCTGTGTGCGTGTGCGTGTGTGCACGTGCGTGCGTGTGCGTGTGTGTGTGTGATGCAGTGGTCTATTTTTAGGCTGAAGGTAATTTTGTGGAAAAGGCTGTGGTCCCTGCTGTAGCACTCTGTCTTGTAAGTGAGAGACTCGGGGTGCAGAGCAGCTATTTGTTACGTTAATGAAACAAGATCTGACAACCTAAAAGCCTGCAGAGACCAGTCTGAGACCTCCAAGCTGCCGGTTCAAATCCCCAGCCAGACAACGATTACCTACGAGGCTGAGGTAATTAAAGACGGGACTTCCTCTCACTTAAAAAATCAAGTTAATGTATTTACACTGGACACCTCATCCCAAATATGTCCAAATCGATCTGATTATTGCTAATTAAATGATTTGCAGAACTGGTACATTTAGAAGATAAAGTACAACTGAAATATTTGTATAGAGAATACTCTGGATATAGTCAGTGAACTGATCGGAGGCTAAAGGAAAAATACATTTATCTTAATGCCAAATGACCCAATAGCCGTTGAAAACTTTCAGTCTGATCCAAAGTGGGGGAGCGACCAGTTTCCTGACATTTCCAGCCCTCGAGCCGAGCCGCTGATGAGGCTAACACAACGTATTTAAAGGTTGGGGTCAGGAACACAGAGTAATATCCCTCAAGCAATGGATTTAGAAATGTGAGCTGCTCTGAACAAGAAGTCTCCTGCTGTTCTGCACCGGCTTTCCACTTGTCACCGTGTTTAACTGTGTGAAACTAAAGCTCGTGTGTTCACCAAACCAAACCCAGAAGAAGAAGTAAATGGCTTCAAATAAGGCCTTTTTTTGTCGAACTGAATGACATTTCTAGGAGGGAGAAAGCCCACCTTCATTTCCCAAACCATGCTTACAAATGATGTCTTTAGATGTTCATGTTTGTAGGCGATATTATGTTCTGTAATCTATGGTTGTGTATGGTTTTTACATATTGTGTTGTGCAAAATAAAATTCCCTAGGGCTCCTACAGTAAATGACTCTGACTTTAATAAATCCCAAAGAAGTTGTGCAGACATCATGAACACAGCATCAGTAAATATGCACCCAGCAACACAAGTGCTCAAAGGAGAGTTGTGACACATAACTCGGGGGAGAAACGAGATGATATCTGTCTCTGCGCTGCCTCTGATGTTTTGTCAGAGGCGGAAAAGTATGCGACTTATTCAAACTGTGGATTTGTTTCTTTTAAGGGGGACGGGAAAATGACTGATCTTTCCTCTGAGAACAGATCCTTTTGTCAAGTATTTTTCTTGTCAGAGTAAGACTTCTGCACTGCTGTTGGATGTCAGGGGCGATGAGCCAGAGCACCTGGGGGGGGGGGGGGGCGGGGGGGTGGGGGTGAAGGCCGGGGAAAATACATGGCGTGGAAATGGCGACGAGGTGCCGTGATAGATGCCCTGTCATCTCCGTGCCGCACCCGATGACACATGTTCAATCTCAGCCCGGCCGCACCTGTTGATGGGCGGGATGAGATTTCAAGCCACTGTGGAGCCGAGTATGTGCATGTGAACGAGTGAAAGGGAGCTGTTAGATATAGACTGAAGGAAAGAAAAGTGACAGGGAGACAGAGAGATCTAAGAAAGAGAAACAAACTAGACAGAAAACCACATTAAAACATCCATGAGAGGTGCATGTGGAAGCTTCACTTGGTATTCATCAGCATCGCTTATTCAAAATCGCTCCAACAAATTCCATAATTTTGGAGACGACAACAAATTGCCTGAGCCAATGACAGCTTGAAGGACAAGCAGACACAAAAGTCAGTTTTGTTCTGTTAGTCTTCACACATCTTGTGACAAAGCAATCAGTTGGTATTGGTATGTGTGTGGTGTTAATCTTAGAAGAAGATGTGATATAAAGTAAATCTGACATGAACAGCACTTTAGTATTCAGCATGAAGAGCGGAAATGTAAATGTGCTCTGAAAATCAATAGAGAAACAGTGCAAGGCCAGAGAAATAACATAAGAGGGGAACAGAGATAAAGGATGTTCTCTTTTTCCTAATGAACTGTGAAACTGACACGTCAAGCTACATTTATTTATCAAAAATATAGTATACAACAAGAGTCCGCAGCCATGACTACAATGGCAATACTACCATGTTGATGTTTATCAGACATAATGTTTACGTGTTCTGCAAACTTATAGTTGCTTACCTGCACTAAACACTAAGTACAGCCGAGTACTTTGCAGGTATTTGGTCATTAATCAAAGTATTAGACGAACAGACAGAGATATTTTGAAGATATGACGATATATCTTAACGGGACAATAGATCAGCGAAGTCATTATGATTCATGACAGAGAAATGAATCAACAAATCAATTCATTAATTTCATGGCAAGCCAACTTATAGCTTTGTGAAATGTTCCAAAAAAGCCAAAAATGTGAACCTGATAGTGGCGCTACAGGAAGAGGACCACTAAAGTCATGAGGATCCAGAGGGGAAACCTAATGTCTGTATTAGGCTTCACACAGCACGTAGCCCCAGGCTAAGGATAGCCCTGGGCTTAGAATATGAAATGTGAAAAGCCCTTATCAAATGTCATAGAAACCATGAAATACTCTGAGATATTTTAGTCCAGACTTAAAGGGGTTGACCGACTGAGAATAACAATCAGACAGACCATAAGGCCGCACCATGGCTAAAGATGGCTGAACATGTAAGGCTTATTATATGTGCACAGTAGATGTGCATGTGCCAGATATTGTTTGTAATTAGACGTATGTTGCAAATATTTCACGAAAAGAATACTAAATGAGCTGGAGTGTAAAAGTTTATACAATAATAAAATGTGTTAGTGTTTAAAAAAGCAGCTTCTTTATGGTACAACTGCCCTTCTGACATCACTATGTAACACCGGCACTTCTATTGGCTAGCACTCCAACACATTGTACGTGATAGGCTAAGGGGCGGGACATCTCTAAGCGGTTGATCAATCACAACAGACTGGGCTCTGGTTTCAGACAGAGGGGGAAAAGAGGTGCTGCAGCACAGGCAGTATGAGAAAAGTAAAGAGCTTATTGAACATTAAAGTATGGAGACATGTCCCAGAGACACTACATACAATATGAACCTGAAAAGGACCCCAACAGGTCCTATTTAATTACATCTTATCTACCTGCTCGGCCCTGAACGCTTCTTTAATCGAGCTCCAACCTTCCACCTCAACCTCTCTCTCCAATTAAGCCACCTGCAGACTTTTTATGGATTTTGGTCAACTACAGAAGACCCCCTAACCCTCATTCATCACAACCATTCACCATCCACAGCTGGCATAAGTCGGCTGAAAGCTGCCGCTAACAAGGTCAGTAACAGGCCACAAATAAAACCAACATGACGGCTAGTTTATTCATTAGCTGTAGATCTCATCTGAACATGGCAGATATAACGTGTGACAGTAGGAAAAGACAGTTGGACATAATCATTTAAGCTTATTTTGGTTAGCCTAGCCTAAAGGCCGAGGCATGCTTCAGTTTAAGAAACCCACTGGCCAAATTGCACCCGTCAGCTTCAGGAGGGAGAGACTGTCCGGAGTCAGACTGCCCTCTGGCTCATGAGAAAGGATGTTGTGTTTATCATGTTGGCTTATTATTACAGTAGCCTCGAGTCAATGATCAAAACAATTAGTCTGCTGCCTGCAGGCGTCTAGACTGTGTGTCACGTTTGAACTGTGTATTTGTTCTTATAGAAACTGTTTATGTCTGTATCGAAGGCAACAGGTGTTTTAGAGTTTTTTTTATAAAAAGCAGGCAAGAAAAAAATACCTTTAAAGAAAAAGAGGAAGGTTTATGTGTCCTTTGACGACTGATTTTAATATTCTCAGGGCTGGGTGAAGCTGTGGTCATGTGGCAATGATTGAAAGGCGCAGCTGCAGGAGACATTTTATAATAAATGAAGACCGTAGTAGATTTTATTTCATTCATTTGATCTTCAATTGGACTGGACGGAATAAAACCACAAATACGAAAGGGAAACTAGGGAGCAACACTGCTTTACACTTGTAGTCAATCAAATTTAAACTAAATTACAAATTGATTTGGCAGAAAAATGACAGTTTATATGCACTGATTTTACAGTACATATCAAAATGCCTTCATTCTTTATTGAACCACAGACATGAGCCTCTCGGTTTAGATGCACCTTTTCCAAACAGTGTCAAACATACTGAACACGGTTGTCTCCATGCTAGGACTCAATTGAGATACAACCTCAGCGTAACACATCACACACACACACACACACAGACACACACACAGAGACACAGACACACACACTGACCTTGGAGGTGGTGTCCACGGTGGAGGAGGTGATGGCGGTGGACGCCTCGCTGACGGAGGTGCTGGACAGCAGCTCAACGGCCGGTTTGGACAACAAGGAAGCTCCCTGGGGCCTGAAAACAAACACACAAACAACATGGGTCAATACACCGTTATAAATCCATTATAGCAATTTGAGGAGTTTATACTCAACTGTATTGTGTGTCACAATTTATCTTGAAGGGCAGGTGGCAGCTATGGCTAAAATCACTACCTGTAGGAAGTGTGACTACGTGTGAATATATCTTGCCTATATTTGGCTTAATTTGACAGCGTTTTGTTAAGAGAGCAAGAATAAGCGTGAGAGCAACTTGGCCTGGGAACTGTTAGGTCATCGGTTCAATTATATTATTATTCAAAATATTCGCAAGTACTTTTGACATGCCACTGAGCAAGGCACTGCACCCCCACACTGCCCCCGGGGTGCTGTATACAATCGCTGGGCACTGGTCCAAAAACTAAGATGGGTCAAGTCTTGTGGGGCGACATGTTATTATCATAATCAGGTGAAGTAACTGAGAATATAGAAAAAAAGGAGGAGAGGGTGGATGAGGTTTTCTGAAGTGCGACGAGGAACAATCTGGATAGAGAATGTTTCTGGAGGTCCTTGAGGCCAAGGACAAATCCTGTGTGTGTGTGTGTGTGTGTGTTCTTGCATTGAAACCAGACAGTCCTCATCTGACACTGTTGCTGCTTAATGACCTGAACACACACACACACACACACACACCACACACCACACACACACCACACACACACAACACACACACACGACACACACACACACACACACACACACACACACACACACACACACACACACACACACACACACACACACACACACACACACACACACACACACACACACACACACACACACACACCTTTGTAGATGCTGAATAAAATCTATGTGTGTTCAAGATCTATTTTCCTTCCCTCCCTCAGGTTAGCGCAGACTTATTACCTTACATGACCGTTTCACAACAGGAAGCTGATGAATAGACCTACAAAACACACTCACAGCAGAAACATAAAAAGTGTAGAAGCAGCAGACTGCGTTATGTAACTGTGTACTTCAAGGAGATACATCATAACCCATCCTTAATCCCAATGCACACTAGATAATACAGTCACTAAGTTTGGCAAATTATTCAGAGGATTTGTGTTTTTAAATATTTGTAATGGATGTACTCTGAATGATCTGTTTTGGAACAGAGATGAATAAGCCTTTTATGCCTGGAAGGGAAAGAAACTGAAAATATGATTAAGATTAAGAGGAAGGGTTGTTAAGAGTCTGTGCTCTAACTAAAAACAAGACGATGACTTATTTAGTTAAATAAATGAGCAGGAATAACCTTAAATGCCCATCTGAACAACCTTTTAGAAAGGCAGCAGCTACTATTTCAACGTCTCTTTCAAGACAACTCACGTTTGAAAAGTTTATTAACAGCAGTATATAGTTTGAGTTTGCCGCCATGCTCCGCCTCGTAAATCCCCGCAAATGTAATAATTTTACATAGAATATTGATGCTTTGCTCCATTTCCAATTGGCTGGTAAAACAATATTAGGAGCTGGTACATTTTGAGATGTAATGCTTTATTATGAATCCAACAATCCAGATCGTATTTATTCTTGTTGTCATTGATGGGCGAACAATTCTCAAATGTTAACTTTGTAGTGCATAATGACTTAAAGGGGACCGATCATGCAAAATGCACTTTTGTACGTCTTTTATACATGAATATGTGTCCCCGGTGTTCCAGGGAACTCACCAAGTGTCAGAAAACACAACCCTCTCTATTTTCCTCCATACCCAAATCTCTAAAAAAGGGGCTGCAACGGATCTGATAAAAACTGATCCAGATTTGAACACTGTCCTGACGTCAGGACAGTGGCGCTACGGCTATTGGGCCAACTCCACCAATCAGGAGGAGACAGCCACGGCCATTGCCGTTCGAAAGCGCTGGAGACGCTGTAGTACATATGCCAGGCCTGTAGATGGTGCTGTTCTCACTGAATCTGCCCTTGCTAAAACAGATCTAAAAAATGTCAAATTGAGCAAAATGAGGCATGGCTAAAATGCATGATCTGTTTGGTATTTTGAAAAAAAAAAAAGTATAAATATGCCTTATATAGGTATGGTCCTACACTATATTATTCAAATATAGCATGATAGGTCCACTTTAAGTATTGCATACGTTTTTGAACCGACTATGTAGGCTTGATAATTCAAAAGAAAGCAGCAGTAAGTAGGTAAGTGTAATACACTTTTTCAGTAAAGCTTCTTTTTGCAACATTAAAAGGAGTAAAAGTCTAGACTCCAGAACAAACAGAGCTTCAGATATACGTCATCTATGATAAAAGGTCTGTGAATGTATGAGTCACAGCACAAAACAAATCATTCAGGGATCAATAAGAACTGAGTAATCTCTCACTGACATCAAGACTCCTCTGGAAACAGCACAAAGGTATAATGAGTCATCCGTACTATAGAGAGCCATGGAAACAGACAGGTTTTAAATCTTTCTGTGGAGGGGTTCAGCTTAAAACGCTCCATTAATCTTAGACTGCTTCTCCACAGGTGCTTCCCATAGTGCTATCTAAAGTACATCGCCTTTAAAGGGGCCCTATTATGCTCATGTTCAGGTTACATGGTCTTTATTGTTCTCATACTGCCTGTGCTGCAGCACCTCTTTTCACCCTCTGTCTGAAACCAGAGCCCAGTCTGCTCTGATTGGTTAGCTGGCCAGCTCTGTTGTGATCGGTCAACCACTTAGAGATGTCCCGCCCCTTAGTCTATCACGTATAATGTGTTGGAGCGCTAGCCAATAGAAGCCTGTGTGTCACATAGTGATGTCCCTATGATACGGCAGTAAACAAGGGAGTCAAACGGAGGCTTTTTTTCGAAGGAGCTTTTGCGATGCTAACTTCCGGATCAGCCTACATGTCATTTCTGAACCACTCTATAGAGGATTCTCAGTAAAGATGAATGAAAAACATGCTGCACTGATACTAGTTTATTCTGAATTATATCTAAATGTGGACTTTTAATAGTGCAAGTTGAAAAAAATATTAAATATACACACAAGTCTGCTCGCTGTGTGTCTCTGTGTTTCTGTGTGTCTCTGTGTGTCTCTGTGTGTCTCTTTGTGTCTCTTTGTGTCTCTGTGTATCTCTTTGTGTCTCTGTGTGTCTCTTTGCAGATGACAGCCTCTCTCTTGCCGTGGTGAGACAGATGAGACGTTCCACGCTGGATGTTTTATTGTCAGCGGGCCGACACAAGGCGGAGTGTGTGGGTAAATCTGTCTGATTGGGTTCAGAAGGGAAAACACTGAGCGACGCTTTCTTCCATCCAAGAATCCAACCTAATTACCTTACACACACACACATTTTCACTTGTTAGATGCTCTCACACACACTTGTCACACACACACTTGTCACACACACACTTGTCACACACACACTTGTCTCACACACACACACACACACTTGTCACACACACACACACACACACACACACACACACACACACACACACACACACACACACACACACACACACACACACACACACACACACACACACACACACACACACACCACACACACACACACACACACACACACACACACACCACACACACACACACACACACACACACACACACACACACATCACACACACACACACACACACACACACACACACACACACACACACACACACACACACACACACACACACACACACACACACACACACTAAAGGTTAGTGTAGCAATTTATTAATGCACTTGGTCTAAATCAAATCATCAGCAGAGGTTACGATGACCTCTAGTATCTAGTATAGGTGAAGACTAAAAAACGCTGGATCCAGATTACCCATAATGCAACTCATTAGCATCTTTCATTACACCACCTTCAAACCACAACCCCAGGTGTGTATATTTAAAGAATGGCCTGTAATAGAAAAGGAAAGTTTGTACCTTCAGTTTGGACAGTTATATTTTAATCTGAGTCCGGTGAGTCCTTTCCTTTATTTAAGTGACATAATAAACCACTTTAATCAAACTTTTATTAAGTTCCCTATTATACAGCATTTTGACACATCTAACCTCTGACTCTAATCAGGCAATCACTGCAGAGAAATTAACACATTTACCCAAAATGCACTGGGCTGTTGTTTCACCCCAAACCCAAAACATTTTTTCTTTGAAGTGCCTTCAAACGTTAGAGGCTTAAATAATAAAAAGCCTCATACTCACAGCTCATCATTACAAAAATAGGTTGAAACATGGGACCCAAAATCACAAATGACGGCTCAAACAAAAACACAACTCTCTTAAAAATCTTTAAAGGAGGCCATTTTGTGCTTTTTGGGGCTTTCCCTCTTCTGTAGTGATCGATAGGTTTGTGTGCATGTGAATGGTCTGCAAAGGCTAAAATCCCAAAGTCTCCTCCAGAGGGAGTTTCTCTCCCACACACTCCCCCCTGTGACATCACTATGTAACACTTCTATTGGCTAGCGCTCCAACACATTGTACGTGATAGGCTAAGAGGCGGGACATCTCAGAATCACAACAGAGCCGTCCAGCTAACCAATCAGAGCAGACTGGGCTCTGGTTTCAGACGGAGGGTGAAAAGAGGTGCTGCAGCACAGGCAGTATGAGAAAAATAAAGAGCTTTTTGATACATGTCACAGTAGAGACACAAAATACTGATATGAACCATGAGAAGAGCAAATTAGGGCCCCTTTAAGTAAATGCAAATATGTAATTTTCTTTCGAGCCTTGCTGAAAATATACATTGTTGTTCCTCAACTCTGAAGTAAAGAAATGACTGTGGAGAAGGACATAAAGGAGGTGAATAAAACTCAAGGACCAACACTCAAGTCGGGCACAAAAACCTGTGAGCATATAAAAGGAACTCAGATCTAAAGAGAACTATATGTATGTCTCATTCAGTAAAATTGGCCATGAATCTAAAGTAAAACTACAGAAAGCAGGATAGTCTTTGGCAGCTCATAGGAAAGTTTTTCGCCTCCTCCGGTTGTGTGTGGGAGGAAAATGT